AAACACGATCTACCTTACTTTAATATCTAACATATTCTTTAATACTCCTATACCTTACTATACCCTCTAACCTCCTCCCTATCTCCTAGTATAAAGCAGAATTACTACTAAATAGCTCCCTACATGCCTAAATCTATCGACGCTAGCCTAGCTAGCCTAGAGCTATAGCGCTAGATCGACGTTCGTAGCGACAAGGTAAGAGGTAAAAGGTTAGATAATAGCGCTTAGGACTACGAGACTAACTAGTACAAACTAGCTCTAAGCAGCCGGCTTCTAGTTCGACCTTATAGCTAGCGAGCTAATAGATAAGGCTAAAGGCTCCCTCTTCCTCTACCGTACCCCCGACTTCCCCCCGATAAAGTTCGACTAGACTATAATAGCTGCTCTCCTTATCTAGAGCCGGTTAGTATAATAGCTCCTAGAATTAATGCCGGTAGCTAATAGCACTATAGCGGAGTTAACTAGTATAACAATCGGACGAGGGGTGGAAATAACGAGCGATACGGCCTATATGTCTAGTAGAAGGGCCCGTTTAAGGTATGTCTTATTACGAGCAGCCCGTATAATAGTAGCAGAGGCTAATAATAGTAGGAGTGCGTAGTCGCGAAGGGCAGTAAGAACGATGCCTACGGAAATTACGTGTATCGGAATGTCTTTAGTAAGGGTAATAAGTATACCCTAGATCGGACAAATAGGTCTTAAACAAGTGCTACGACCTTCTCTCTCTACTTTGTACGGGGGGTTTAATACGAGCGATAGTGCGTTAAATAAGTTTAAATGTATAGTGGATTTTTATTTTTAGTTTTCTTAACTTTTAAAACTTCTAAATATCTTTAAATTGCATCTAAATCCTTCTTTACGACCTTTTTACCTATAAATATCCCTTCGCTCTATATAATTATGCTACTATTATTTGCTATAGTCGAATATGCCGTAGTCTACTATCCTACTATCGAGAAGACGCTACCCTAACCCTAACCCGGTCCTATTTTTGCCGAGGTTTCTGCTATTACGCTACTTGCTTATTACCTTCTATATCTTCCCCCTTCTATTCTACCTATTATACGGCTAGCGCTATTATTATATATAACTATAGGACGTCTACCTAATATTTTAGCGGAGCTCCGACCTAAGGTTATTAAGCTATAGAACGATACTATAAGCATTACGGAGATATAGGCATACCTCGAGACGTAAAACGTCGTCGCCTYCGAACGTACGATCCGTATAATCGTATCGCTTAATAGTAGGAATCGCCGCTAGTCCCTAATCGCCGACCTTCGTAACGACCTCTCCCTCTATATCTAGATTGCCGACCTCTTTTACCTCTAAGCGTTACTAGATCCGTTTATTATAGACGAATTAAAGAAGGACGGTTACGATATTAAACAYACTAYCTTTATACGGCTACGTCGGYAGCTCGGCCTTAAGTTACGCATCCGTAATRTAGAGTTTACGGAGCGTAAGAACGAGTTCCTTAATCTCGTCGTAAAGGAGCTTAATCGCTCTAAGATCGATACGTATAGTAAGGTTCTCCTATAAACACACTTCCGTACAACCGACCGTATAAGGATTACGCTTAGTAGGTAGGTATAATAGTGCGCCTTACAGTTTCGGATTATACTACTACTCCTATATATAGTAATAGCTAATAAAGTCCGTAGGCGCCGCTTATACGAACTAGTCCGTAAGGTCTACCTAGTAGGGGCGTATAATAGATCCTCTCGATTTACGCGCCGTCGAGGTATCTATACTACGCCTAGGCCGGACTATTATTAGAGYATAGATGCTTACTATAAGCTAGAGGACTATRGATTTYAAATCTACGCTACTATTAACGCCGATATAAGATACGTTTTATACTAGTATTTAGGTCCTTCCGCCCGTATAATAGTGTCTGTCTTGTCTAGTTTCGCTTACGCCGCTAAGAAATATAAACGAGTACCTCGTAAGATTCGTATAGATAAGGGGAAGGAGACTATACTCCTTATATAGGCGTAATACGAACACGCGAAGAGGACCCGTTAGTATAAAGTGCGCTTCCGGAACTGTTTTATTTTTAGTTTAAGTACTCGTAACGTTCGAGTTAAGGCCTAGTAGGGCTAGCTTACCCGAGGGCGGATAAAGAAGTAGTATATAAGTCTAAACCACCTACTTCCTATAGCGCGACTTCTACTTCGTATTATACTAAGCCTTAGGTACACGAACTTAACGCTTGCTACTATAGGTCTTCTTTACGAAATACAAGAAATCCGGCTGGTTCTATAAATTAAAGCGGTCCGATCGCGTAGTAATAAAGTACATCTATACGCCGATTATACGAGAGGAGATAGCTTCGTTTATATAGACGTAGAATCTATATCCGATCCGGAAGCAACCGAACCGACCCTATATAATACCTAGGATCCCTTACTATCGATATTATTTCGCTAAGGCCTAGGGGCGTAAAAGTGTTAGGCATGCTATCGACGAGGAGTATATTAACAGCCTAGTAGATACCTGTTCTATATAGGGTGCGTTTGTATAGGCGGACGCCGTTTATATAGTTATTATATTCTTATTTTACTAACAACTTTAGATCCTAATAAATATTTACTACTAGTAACTCGGGAACTATATGCTAACATTCTAAAGGATGTTAGGTTCGCGACCGGCCGGCCTAGCTCTTACCGCTTTATACTAGAGGTCTAACGGCTAGAGTACTAGATTACCTACGAGAACCTTGTTAAACAGTTATATAAGATGCTAGACTACTAGTTAGAGGAGACTACTATCCTAAGGGGAGGTAGGAAGTAGGAGGGGTTTAAAGTGAACTCCGAGGCTATTATATAGACGTTCCTTAATTAGTGCGATAACGATTATAAACGTGAAGTACTTAAGGAGGCACTAGATAGGATTGTAAATCCGATCTTAGAAAAGGAGGAGGACGGGACTAGCTCTAATAGCGAGGACAACTACTAGTTAGATAAGGAGGAGAATCTATAGTACGTATAATAGTACATAAGCATTCCCTACATTATCCGAGGTTACTATCTTACTTATATACGCTAGTATAAACGTTCGGAGTCGCCCCTTATACGCTATATTAGTGCTAAAGGTGTAATCTCTATAGCAACCGTGTAATAATCGTACGATCGTACCGTATAATTCGAACCTTTATATACTACCGCGGTATATAAAGCTATAAACGGGACCCTACTATCTCTACCCTCCCTCTATTCTTCGGTCTACGACTCGGCTACTACTACTATTATAGCTCCTATACGATCGCGATACCGTCTACGAACCCCGAAGCGCTTTATACGGAGGAACGATAGGTAATAAGAAGTAATAGAAGAAGCTATAGCCTCGAATGTATATAGAGCGTAATAATTTTAATTACGGCGAAACCCTACGTAACGATATTAAGTGCCCTTTCTATAAGCTCTATAATCTAACGCCGCTAGTTATAAGCAGCTCTAAGGGCTTTATATAGCGGGCTACGTAGCTGCTAGCACGCTAGCCTCGCCTTAACGGCGCCGGAATCCCTCCTAGAGTTACCCCTATAGAGATTGCCTCTAATATAGAAACATCCGACGATAAGCTAGTTAGAACAGGCTAGAACTACGGCGATAACAATTACCTAAACAATACTAGTCTAAATAATAGGCGCTCGATAAATAAGCGCTAGCGGAAGATCGATACCGACTATATACGGAACCTACTAAAGACGGAGTACGACGCCGGTAACCTCCTAATTAGCCTTCGGCCTAAGGAACTAGCGGGAACGGCATCCGGCTCCTTTATATAGGTAAGGATAACTATTACTATTATTATTGCTAGGTACACGATATTACCTAAGGACCCCGATAGGATACCGAAGTTTTAAAATAAGAAGAAGGGTATATATATAGTTAGTTTGTTGCTAGCGACTTCGTCGTTCTAGACAC